GCAAAATTCTGACCCAGCTGTTCCGCTGTGACCAGGCTTCAGCAAAATGTCTTTCATGGTTCAACTGGATGGCTTTGGTGTTTAGTGGAGGAGAACTTGAAATAAGATCTAAAATACAGTTTTTAAAGGATTTGTGCTGATGCTTGTTATGAAATAGGTATGTCTGTTGCTGTGCTGTTGAGTATGGGCATGAACTTAAGTAAATGTGTGAGGTTTTGCAGAACTAGAACCTTTGATATAGAAAGGAAGAGCTAGAACCAACGGAACTAGATCTCTTTTAAAACTGTGTTGTTCCCTTTTGTTGTCAGATAAGTACATTTTTGTTGCTACGATTTTCCTTCCGTTACTACCCCTTATCCGTTTAGGGTCTGTCTTGGCTATGATTCATGTCAAGGTTCTCTTCTGAACGGTGCAGCTGGTTCACACAGTTTAACATAGCGGAGAACCTGGACTATTGACTTGGGGTCAAGGCCCTGTTGTGCTCAGTGCTGCTTAAGGATTTTGAATAAACATGTCCCTGTCCCAGACACCCCACACTTCCTTTTTTTTTTTTTTTTTTTTTTTTTTTTTTAAATTTTAAAGAGACTGAACCCCTTTTAGGAAAAGGGGATATAGTGTCACCGTGCAACTCTTCTCTGTTACAGCAGCAGGGCTAGTCATTTAATACCTTGATTTATAACAGTGTTCTAATCTAAATAGGAAGCAGGTGGAGTTACAACTGGGTACGATACTTCGGATATTAATGGCTTGGCTTGGCAGTGGAATTCTAAAGCTGTATATACTTTTTCTGTCTTAATTATGCATTCATTAAAAGCTTTTATACCCAACAGAATAAAGTAAATATTGTTTGATCTCTGTAGTGTGCTCCCAGACTGTAGATTTGCACAGCAGGGTCTTGATAATCTGAATAAATTGTATTTCCCCAAGGAGTTTATCTTTCAAATAAGGTCATAAAGAAATGCATTCTTTCCCCTTAGTTCTCCTTGTGCTTTTTCTGCTATTTATAACACAGAGCAGAGGAATAGAGGTATATTGTAGTCTGCTGTGTACTTGGTTATGATTAACTCTAATTTATCAATCTGTTACATCCTTTTCTGTGGCTTGTGCAAGGCAATAATTCTTTAAAGTACAAACGAATAAAGATGGATTTGGAAGTAATTTAAATACAATGTTTATATCTATTTTTCCTGTTTGACAATTTATCATATCTCTATATTAAAATACTCCTCTATTAAAATGTGGACAATGTCACATAATTTATTTCGACTATTTAATATTGTTGTCTTTCAGATTATGTTTGTTCGGAAAACTGATTTTCTTTTATGAGGGATTTAAATGTCAACTCATTCTTAAATTGGTTTGGCATCTAAAGGTTGATACCGCTGAATCAGAAGACCAGTAGTGTAGAACAATGGATTCTCTTACTTGAGAGAGAAGGGAAGCGAGGGGATGTATAGTAAGTAGAATGCATAGGATCAAAGATAGTTCCTCATCTTAGAAGTAGACAGTGATAAATAATTTGACCAATTTAATAAATTGGTTTACTGTGAAAATTTACAACTATTTCAACTGTTACTTGTAAGATCTGTGTATATAATCTTGTAAATATTTTCTTAGTCTGAATGTGTTTCAGCAGTGTAACTTACATCATATTAGAAGAGATAGGATCACTACCTTTCCCTAATTCTCTTCAGCTCTTAGTGACAGTTCTGCTTGTGTTCGTGTTTCATCCTTCAGTTCAAAAAAGATAAGTGGCATACATTTAAAAGTTTATAAAAACAAGATTAAAAGTTTCACTAATTTACATAAGCCTGTTTTTTATTGCATGTTTTTGAAGAACCTATGCTGCGATAGAGTACCAGAGGAAAGTTGCACGTGACTTTTAAATTTTGTAGCTGCTCTTTTAATACAGTATAATGAAATTTGTGGAAAACAGAGACTGCCAGAACTTGTTCATGACCACATCTAAATTTTCTATTTAGTAACCTATTTCATTTTTAAAGAGTTTTTAATTCAATTAAGGGTTCTGTTTGAAAATCTATTCAAATCAGGCTGAGTTGACAGTGATTGCTTTGATACTGCCTGTTGGATTATTTTTTTTAAAGCTAGAAGGTAAGGTGCTTTTTTTTTTTCTTTTTTTTTGCAACTAACTTACTGTGTTTTAGTCTGATGTTACTGCCTATGAAGAGCTGGCTTATCTGATCTGCGGTATACATCTTGCAATCTCAGTGTGACATTTTTGCCTTCTAGTATCATCACAGAGACAGCAATGTACAGTACTGTATAATTTTGATTTGAATATTGGTATGACAGTTTGATAATTTTCACATGTAAAAGCTAATGGACTACTCGCTTCTTGGGCTGTGAAATACAAACCTGTAGCTCAACTCTATCCTCACAAAAACAAATATTTCTGATTACAGGTCAAGACCAGTTTTCACAAAATATACTTACAATATTCATCAAGCAGTAAAACATAAGTCCAGCAGGTCCCTAACATGTTATGTTAGGCGAAGCATAAAAAATTCTCTGATGCTTACCAATGAAAATAAGTAAAAAAAAACCCAAAAACCAACAAACCAAAAGCCAAATAAATCAGCATCTGAAATAAGTGAACACATAAATAAAAATAAATAAAATTGTAAATAAACAGCTTCTGTGATTTTATTTATTCATCCATAAGTATATTTGGCCTCTTGAACTGTATGACAGCTTCCATGAAAAACTTCAATTGCTGTTGAGTTGAGGCAATAGGGGAGTCTGGGGGATCACCAAAAATAGCCAAACCAAAAATGAAGGCTTACCGACGTGTTTCAGATTTCACTGAAAATGTGAAGATTTTTCAGGGGAAAAGTGCATTTGTGTGTTGTATTACTGTTTCTCTCTAACCAGGAAAGATTTTATTATGTTATCTCTGGCATTGTCCTCTTCTGAAGTCCACCAAAAGCCATTTGTCCTTCTCCATTGATAGCGGGGTTTCATCAGGTCTGTATTTCAGTTGGGCTGTTGATCCTCAGATCACAATGATCGATTATCTACTTTTCATCCTCCCCAGATACAGCTGTTGACTCCAGAAGAGCTCAATAAGTATACACTGAGCTTTCCTAAATTTTTTTCTGGATGTTTGACATTCATTCAATCAGGAAGTTCTTCGAAAAGATAGTCTTCCAAACCAGGGACAATAAAGCATGGTTGTCACTTGTCAAATGCTGTGATGTTTACTTTGATTATACTCCTATGTGTTGTTGCCACCATGGCATGGCCATCACAGAAGTAAGTGGTGGTGTGAGGTGCCATCTGTGATCTGCAGATATTAAAACACTGAGCGAGCACACAGACCCGATACTTCTCATGTAAAATTCATTCCTTTCTCTTTCCTTCTGCAACTGGGGAGGATTTATCCTTACCTCTTCTATGTTAGTGTGAAGAGGAACTGACACTAGAATATCTGTGGCTTTTGGGATGATGGCTGTTAGTGCTTGTTCTGACAACGTAAAGAACTTTTCTTTGTTCTTCCAAGAAAACAACGTGAAACTCCGATGCAGCAGTTTAAGTAGATAATGAATAGGATTTATCTTTAATGTACAAGCCTGCCAGGGAAGGTGTGCCGTTCAGACCGGGAGAGTATGTAACAAGCAGGAGCCTCCACAGGAATTTGATTCATTTTCCTCCAGTACTGACTCCTCTAAGCAGGTGAAAAAAATTCTTTCTCCACTCTCCATTGCATATGCATAAACAGCTCCACAGTCATTGGGACAGCCACCCAATTCACACGTTCAAGATGTAGTCCATAAAACATTCCAAAAAAACCCCTCTTCGCACTTTCCCATCTTCCCTGTTGCTCTGCTCTATCTGCCAGCCGTGCAGCTCATTTGACATTTACAAGATTTCTTGTCAGTTTCATTTGGTGCTGCCATTCCATCCAGCAGAGCAGTGAAAGTGAAATTGACTTAATTTAGTCTGTTTCTCTTTCCTGCTCTAGTCCCTATGTTAACTAACCAGCAAAGTGAAACTGACAAGACTTCTTGTCATTTTCACACATGGAGCTGGTCAAGGAGAAGGCGGCTGATAGGGAGCAATGCAGTAAATTGGAAGATGAAAACCAGGATTGCGGAGGGGAGAGGGAGAGAGGTGTGAGCATACAGCAAGAGCAGAGAAAACGGGTAAACACGCTTATTTCCCAGGCGTCCTGGGTGCTTTTCTCTAATACAGATAAATTCTTGGCCTCTCCCCTGAAGAGCGTATGGTCTAGAATAGCAGTAGTTAGCTGTCCAGACGCTAATTTACAAGGGATGCCAAGTTGAAAACATTAGCCCGTGAATATAGGTTATCTGTTACCAGGATGGAAAAAACTTTTCGCCCTGAGTTACTGTAGCTTTTGTCTTCACAGATTTTCTGCTGCTAGAAGGAGGGGGAGAAAGAATAGGAGGCCAACATCCACTGTAGGTTGATGTCAGTGGTTGGAAAAAAAGGGTCTATTTGTTCATTGAAGATAAATTTATACATAATAAAATGTAGCTCAGCATCTCGTATTTTGTGGGGTTTCAGGGAACTAAAAGTCATACTACATAGGTGCTCTAGCTCAATCAAAACAGTAAATAATGAACAAACAATTGCTTTGTAACAAACCATCGTAGTTAAGAAATGCATTTTTTTTTTAATCCACTTGTTAACGCCTGCGAGCTCCTGTCATGCAGTGTAAATCATGCTGGTTTATTATTTTATGTGCTAATCCATGTTTCTTACAGATGCATATATAACCTTAGCAATTGCAATATAAATTAGTACTATCATATGTATTTGCATATGCACTAGTAACATTTACACATTTTGAATGAGGCTATGTTAATTAATTTCAAGTTATATTGCCTTCCTTCTTCACAGCTCTAAAAGAACAACCTTTTTTTCATTATCTGAGACCTGTGGGGGTTTTTGTTCTCTGTTTTGTTTTGTTTTTTTTTTTTTTTCTGAGACGTATTTTGTTTGCTTCACCCATTTAGGAATTAAATAGTTTTAATTACTTGGACCTGTATAAGCTTGCGGACCTCTTCAACCTCACTTTGTTGGAGAATGCAGTGGTTGACTTCTTAGTAAAACATCTCTCTGAGCTGTTGAAGAGTCATCCTGAAGAAGTTCTGGCACTCCCATACTGTCTCCTTCGAGAGGTTTTTAAAAGTGATAGACTCACTTCACTCAGTGAAGAACAAATCTGGCAGGTAAGGAGATTGGTGAACAAGCAGAATGTGTGATACTCTATAAATCATAGCAGTAATCTGTTGTTTTGAAACCCTGGAGCAATCTCGAGGGAAAATAAGAGCTTGAGCAAAAACTGTGAATAACAACCGAGGGAAATTTTTAAGTGAAATTCAAAAAATGTTGTGCTAATGCAATTAGTTTGTTTGAAAGAGAAATTTGTCTTATTGCTTAACTTGTGTTACTCAGATGTGGCCAGAGCTTTCCTTCCAGATCCAACTTTGTTGGTGGAAGAGATGCCCAATACATGCAACATTGCTTCTGGTGAGTCTAGTGCCGTGAGTCTGGTGGCAAACCTGCTTCTGTGGTCTCTCCTGTTCACTTCAGACAAACTTAGCTGTGTAACTTCAGTAGTCATTTAGATTGTTTGGGCCACCACAGCTGCCTTTGCCTGAGGCAAATCAGTGAATCATCACACAGGCCGCTCTGCTCAGGAGTAGAGGCATCAGTGGAAGGTTTGTGGCAAGAAGCTGGAGGTGGTGATCGTTTCTTTTAAAAAAGAAAAGGCCCTTTTTAGAAAAGGACCGGGTTCTAGCCACAGAATATTAACAAGATAAAAGCATTATATTGTGACCTTTAGCGTGGAGGGAGGTGGAGTGGGAAACCTAATATGAAAAAAAACCATGTAGTCTGTAAAGAGAAGCACAAAAACTGAACCAAAATCTATCCTTGGAAACATTCCCATCATATGTATGTAAAAATTGCAATTCAAGATCTAGTAGAAGAAAATCTCTGTAACGCTGGTTACACAAACACTTCTTTCTGTTTTCTTTTTGCTGTCATGTTTTGTAGAATTAAAGTATTTCAGAGTATTTCAGGGTAGAATGTAACTTCCTAAAAAGAAAGCACAGATTTCTTTTCAAGCAGGTGGGTTATCTTGGTCCAACAGAGAGAAGACTCAGAGTCAGAAGATTGATTTATATTTCAGTCTCTGTTATTTATCTACTTACATTTTGGATAATTCTAAGCAAATCATTTCATCTATATGCTATCATTTTCTCACAGTGTAAAATGCGTGTTCCTCTGTGGGGCACTTCATGTTCTGTAGATGAGTAACATCATGCAGGAATGAAATATTTATTCTTTAAAAATAAAAATGTCTAGTTAAGCTCTTCAAACCACAAAGCAGGTACACAGATGTAACTTAACCCTTCAGTCTGATAACTGGCGTATTTGTTTCTGAAACTGTGAGGCTTTAGATTATGGAGTATTTTACAAAGATGATATTTTCTGCAAGTATTAATATAAAGTTAGACTCTTGCCTGTCCCAGTCTCTGGAGAATGTCTGTACAACAGAACCTGCAGCACACTACCCATGGTGGTGGGTTTGGTTTGGCTTTTTTTAGGCATGATACTCTGGAGTACGAGCCCATATTCCCTTTATCAGAAAAAGTTTTGATGTGTAAGTTCATATATGGGGCATGGCTGATTGGCCAACTGTTTTTTATCATAATTTCTCTGCAGGGCTAGTGAAATCTCCTAGCTACATGCTTGGGTGTACTGTTGCTAGAAAAGTTGCTACAGAAAGCCACGCAAGTATTATTACAGAAATGAACAAGCACATACAGAGTAACATGCCCTATGCAACCTGCTGAAACAAAGTTTGGGAAGTGGGAGTTTTTAAATCTTGTGTCATTGTCCTGTCCTGCAGGAAGAACTCAGAAATAATTTTCTTAATTGTCTGCACTCCAGTCAATGAACATTGCGTGAGGCAAATATGGCAAAGCGTCCCTTTCCGTTGCAGGGTCATACTGGGGAGAGATACTTATAGGTAATATGCTGCTTTTTGAGTGACAACAAACTCCACACTGTCCATATAAGTGTTATCATAATTGCCTCTCTAAAGGTTACTAATGCTGTTCCGAAGAATTTTTTTTAAACTAGTTTTCCGCTGCAGGCAAAACGCGCGTGTGTCTTTTTAATTCGGTCTGTACAACCAGGAATAAATATATATCTATAAATATTCCAGGTCCCCAGAATGAATTAAAAGACACACATATATATTTACCAATTTAGGCATTCAGAAGGCAATAAGAAACTGGGTTTTTGCTTTATCTTAGTAAATAAGTAATTCCCTCATAGTCAACCAAATAGAAGAAAATCAAATCAGACCAGCTATATTGCCTCAAGTGTAGTTAAGTTCATCATTTTTGCTAAGGTTATAGTGGTAATGCAATATACCATGGAAGAATCTAATATTCAGCCCAGGGTGAAGATTGGGTATGCCAGAGGATTAGTGTCAGGGTGCTTTATAGAAGTGAAACTTGATGGACAGGCTGGAGACAGATCTACAGAATCTCATTAAATTGCTGAATTGTTCATTACTGAGCACTCTCACTGTAATAAAGTGCTCATTGACTTTGACAAATCCCCATCCCATGTCTTAAGGAAGAACAGCAAAGCAAGAGGTGTTGGGGAAGCTGGAGGAAATTGGCACAAAGTGGGGCAGATAATAGAAAAGCTGATGGGGGATGCTACCGTTTGATTTGTCTGTCTTACCTGCGACTAGTGTGGCCTCCTGCACACACACATGCATGCGTGTTACGGCGATACGAATTCACCATGTCCCCGAGGCACCTTGACTAGTAGGGTTCCCATGACGCCCTAAGCACAAATTAAAGCTTCCCTCAGAGAACCTCTAGGAAGGGTGCTACTGTCTGCAGAACACGGTTATTTTCACTAGTTTAAATTCCCAGTGTCCAGTGGGCGATTCGCTCCAAATGCACATAAAGATTAAGGCAGTTATTTTAATACATCCAAATGTGTACACAGAGGGATGCGTAAATGTGATTTAAACTGAAGTGACTGCAGTTTAAATTTGGCACGTTTTAAATTTTCGTTAGACTACCAATTCACAGTTGCCCAATGTTAGTGAATATGGTGAAATATAACCTTGAACAAACCAAGTTTAACAATAATATTAATGTCAGTATACCAGGATGCGGTTTAATGTAGAGTACTACTGTAATGCCTGTTGATTCTTTCAAAAAGAAAAGTGTGACTTCCAAACTGCGTAAAGTAGTTCATTCCTCTTTCTACATCTTAAAATCTTACGAAATACTTTGGCCTAATGTGGGTGTCTGATTTTTAGTGTAGACAATAGACAAGGAATACAACAATGTATTTGTTAAAACAAATAAACAACAAAAAGAAAGCCCACCAGAAAACCTCCGTAGGCTGTAAGATTGGAACAGTTTACTAGTCTCCATCATTAGGGGTTTTTTGGCTAGGCTAAGCTAGTAACAATGATTATTAGGTGACAGGATTTGTTTTCATATTAATTTTTTTTTTAACTTTTTACTAGCATGTGAGATTATGAAATATTATTTTGTATATATGAAATTTGTCATTTGTTGGCTGCATTGAAATGTGAGCAAACTTAAAGCAGCAACGTGGAAGAAAGTATTAAATGAAAAAATGAAGAAAACCAAAGAAGAATCTTGAAGAAGTTGGAGGAAAAAAAGCAAATTCTTTGGTATTTTTCCTGTTCATCATGAGCTGTGCAGCACGCCTTTTTTTTCCTAGGAAACAGTCATGATGAGGACATAAATGTATAGTTTATCATGAAGTGAAAAGTGAACCTTTTCATAATTGGCCATTACTAGAAAGGCTCATTGGCTCTACTTTAAGGAAGCAGATGAATTCTTTCCCTTGATAATTGAAAAGGTAACCAACCCTGTACGACAGAACATGTTCTCAGAGAAATCTAGTAGTAGAGGGCTTCTTGTTGGAACCTTAGCAAGTAGAAAGCAAGCCAAAGATTTAAGCCTTTGTTGTAGTACAGTTATGCCTTATCATGTTCATTATTAAAAACTGCAGTGTCATGAGGCTTAAATGTTAATATTTCAAGGATCATACTAGTACCTAAAGGTTGAAATATCTACTGGATCATTCTGTCTCCCAGCAGTACACCAGTCAAACGATACTGTAGTAAATACTGCATTTGATCCAAGGTGAACTCTTGAATCACGTTTGCCAAAAAAATCTTAACATGAGATCAATATAGATTAGCTTCTTCCTTCTCTGCTACTGGTTAAGTAGGTTGTTAAAGGATTTTTTTTTTTTTTTTGTTTAAAACCGCTAACATTAGAAATAGATCCATTTTAGTATTTGCCAATACTACTTCTGAAGTTAAGGTTAGGAGTTTTTTCTTGGTGGTTTTTGGTTTTTTTTTAACTTTGCCATGAAAGTTGGTTTCTTGGTAATCAACTGATTACCAAGCAAGCAGTCTAGGAAAAATTGGTAGGTAAAACTGCATGAGTAGTTTATTCAGCTAGAAAGCATGCAACTATGTTGTGTCTTCTCCAGGGCTAGGCTCCCAACACATTCCAGCCCTGTTAACTTCCTTGTGTGCACCTTCTGAACTTGTGTTCCTGAAGCAGATGTTCCACATATGAAAATATAGCACAAGTTACTCCTTTTGTTATTGTGGATATGATGTGCAAAATCAGTCTTGGGTCTCTATTAGAGAAGTGTCTTTGCTTGAATAAATGGAAAAAGAAAAGACAGGAAGACTGCAGTGTTACAGGTCAATATGAGTTGTTAGGCAACTATTTAATAAAAATAATAAATGTATTAATCCAATTTTCCTATTACAGTCCTGTTTATTCTTTTCTAAGGGAGAGTAAAGTGCCCAATTTTCAACTGCCTTTTTTTATGCTTGAGCTCCATTTTGAATCTCCTAGTGGCATTTTTGGAGGGCCAAAAGTATTCTCCAGCAGAAGTCCCACAGAGTTCAGTGCTGTTGGAAATTTTGCGGTGTACGCATTATAGCAGACTGTTACGATGGAACGGTTCTCTGCTGAAGACAGGCCCACAGACATCTTCCATACATCTCCAGTGATGCCCACATTTTCCTGTGCAGAACGGCAGTTTCTAAAGTGGGTTGTCATGTTCCAGTACGAGCTTGCCATCTTTTCGGTGCAGTACTTGAATTTTTTTTTTTTGCTGTCAATCTTTTGAT